CTCCAATGGCTTCCCATCTAATTTGGGATAAAATGTGAAGTCCATTCCCTGGCCTTACATGTCTTGCCCCAGTTACTTCCTTTACTCATGTCCCCCTCACCCTCTGTGCTTTGTCCATACCGGCCTCCTAACTGTCCCTAAGAACACCAGGCACGTCTTTGCCTTGGGGCCTTTGCATGCACCATTTCCCCAGTCACCCACACAGCTGACCTCCTCCACTCTCACTGACCACCTGCATGACACAGACTCCCCGCCTGGGCTCACGCTCTCTGCTCACCCTGCTTTATTTTTCCTTGTAGCACTGATCCCATCTGACGTCCTGTGTTTTACGTGTTCATTTGTTTGCTGTCTGCCTCTGCCCCATTAAAATGTCAACCTGGACTTTGCCTATTTTATTTACTGTTGTATCCTCAGCCCCCAGAACAGTGCCTGGCACACAGGAGGCTCTTAATTCTTATTTGTTGAGTGAATGAAAGGAAGAAAGGGGGAGAAGGGGGGAGGAAGGGAAAGAGAGGCTTAGGAGTCCCTAGAAAGGATTTTAAGGACCTACAAGAATGTTTCTAAAACATCGGGTTTGAAATAAAGAACATCTGGTTTTCTTTGAGTGCCTGGTCTTCAAAATTATATGGTTTGAACCTTCATTTATGGTGTCACAAAAACACTGGAAATTAAAATTAATTCCCTCTAGGAGAAAAAGTCTTTTCCTTCTCATCATCATAAACTTATCAAGCAGCAACTTTGTTATAATCCTCTTAGGACTTAAATGAAAATGATCTGCAACTTTACGAAGATCAGCTTTATTATGTACTTAGGAATTTTGATGGAATTTTAACTAATAATTGAGAAATAAATTGTGTTACAAGTTTATTGACATACATTATGGATTAAATAAGCTAAGAATCGCTAGGCGAATCTTGATATTAGTGTTGTTGTTTGTTTTTGCTGTTATTTTGCTCATGACTTTACTCTTTCTTACTGCCTTCTTTTATTATTAATATTCCACTAAGTTTTTTATATTGAGCTTGTTGTATACTCATTCATGGAGGTAAGTAAAGCATATTATTCTTCTCCTACTAGGAAAACAGTATCATCCTAAATGGGACTGTGATGGTCAGCACCACCCGCCTACCCAGTTCCTCCAGTGGAGACCAGCTGGGCGCCGGGGACTGGGTGCGTTACAAGCTCTGCGTGTGTGCCGACGGGACCCTCTTCAAGGTGCAAGTAACTGGCCAGAACATGGGCTGTCAGATATCCGACAACCCCTGTGGGAACACGCATTAGGAGAACCCCAGAGGTCATCGACATGTTCATATCTTGACCTTTTTGTAAGAGTGTGCATGTAAATCATTATTTTTACAGAGTTTGCAATAACTCACTGTAATTATTCGAACTGCAGAGCGCTGCTCTGTTCTGTAGTCTCCATAGTTAAAATGTTCCGAGAGCCTAAACTCTAACACATTTATTAAGTAGCACTGATCTTCAGATTACTGTTCTCTAAAACAATTGTGAGAAGTGAATAAAATCAAAATTAATCTTTAAATAAGTGTTTTTAAACTTCCACTCTCCCTTTTCTAAAGGATAAAGGGCCGAAGCACTGTTTAGATGCACTATAAGTAGCTTTTGGTGACTGTAATGAGCATAGACCCACTTAAGATGTTAAAAGGTACACCACCCGTGCTTCATGCTCTGCCTCTTGGCTTTTGGAAGGAAAGACACCGATTTCTAGTGCATTAACTTTGAGCCATATTTTCACAAGCAAGTGAAGTCATTAAACAATTTTACGTATGTGAGATCAAAACTATGGTTTCCTAGTTTTGCACTAGGAAGAAAATATCCTGTAATGGAATGTTTACTTGAAATAATGATAAATATTAAGTGTTCACAATGTGTTAGGAACTAAAACATAATCTCAGCTTTAAGTAATAATGATAGCTGTCATTTATTGAGCATCTGATACACACTAGGCACTGTCCTAGGTGTTGCATGTTTAGTATCTCTAATTCTCACCACAGCTCCGCAAGTAGGCGTTCTTATCCCAGTTTTACCCATTAAGAAACTGACATCGGAACAGTTAAGAAACTTGTCCAACATCCCACAGTAAGCAGCAGAGTTGGGATTGGAATTCAGGTGTGATTGAAACCTAGAAGGAATTCATGGTACCTGATTCCAAATGCCGTGTTCTTTTCATTATCTGCATTGACTTTTCAATTATTTAAAACTCTAGAAAGATGAGTAAAGATTAATTTAAACTTACCTAAGAAGATAAGAATTAAACAAAACAAGTATGCTTACTCTAGTTAAAAGAAAAATAAATCTCATGTCAGACAAAAAAGAAATCACTGTCGGAGTTTAAACTATCTTAAGCCAATTGCAAAATTTTATACTACAAA